TTACAATCTAGTAGGGAAACAAGGCAATCAATGATCATATACATAAAGTTCAACTGATTAAAAAAAAAGAAGTACAGTGTCCTATAAAAGCGTTTAAAAAGTGGTCTGACCTTGTGTGTGGATAGATGGAACCCATCCTACCTAAGGGTTCCTTGGTTAAATGATGTTTGATTGATATCTGAAGGGCAACTAACAGTTAATCAGACAAAGGTATGGGGGATGGGGGTGGCAAGGGCACTGCAGCCAAAAGCATGTGTAAATGTTCTGAGCACTAAGGTAAAGAAAGGCAGTTGTGCACAGTGATTAAGGACAGGAATTTTGGAGACAGACTGCCTGGATTAGAGCCACCACTTATTACCTGCGCAACCTAGGGCAAGTTATCCAACCTCTCTGAGCTTCCATTTTTCCTCACTTTTAAATGGGGACAACACAGGCATTTACCTTACTGCCTTAGGATTATCATGAGAATTAAATCAATTAATGTATACAAACAGATTTGACCAGTGTTTGCCACATAGTAAATGCTATGTAAATGTTAGCAATTAATGAATAGCCACTCTGAGAAATGAAATAAAGCCACTGTAGCTGGAGTGTGAGAAACTAAGCTGGAGAGATTGGCAGGGATATTAACTAAAGGGTTTTAAGCAGGGGAGTGACTACTGTAATAAAAATCTAGCTGGTGACATTTCTTCCTCTCCAAACCCCATCCTTACTGCCAAAAGAACACAAACTGGGAATTCCCTATAAGTCCAGTGGTTAGGACTCCACACTTTCACTGCCGAGGGCCCGGGGTTTGATCCCTGGTGGGGGAACTAGGATCCCGCAAGCCATGCAGCAAAGAAAAAAAACAAAACAAAACAAAAGGGCTTCCCTGGTGGCGCAGTGGTTGAGAGTCCGCCTGCCGATGCAGGGGACACAGGTTTGTGCCCCGGTCTGGGAAGATCCCACATGCCGCGGAGCCTGCGCGTCCGCAGCCTGCGCATCTGGAGCCTGTGCTCCGCAATGGGAGAGGCCACAACAGTGAGAGGCCCGCGTGCCGCAAAAAAACCCCAAAAAACAAAAAACCACAAACTGATCACATCAGCTCTCCTTTCCAATCTCCAAAGGTTCCCCACGTTCTGCCTACATGACAAAAACCGAACACCTTACACAACTTAGAAGTCCTTTTCAGTATCACTCCAATATACCTCCAGTCGCACAGTTCACCTACTTTCCTTTCCAAACTATCTTCAAACACCAACATATATGCACTATATGCTTCAATATTACAATGTTTCACTGTTCGCAGCACTCTGAAACTAGTACACCCTTCTTGTTCTCTCCTCTGTAGTTCCTTTTCTCACACTGACTGGAAATCTGGTACTATTACAGTTCAGAGCATTTTCACCCACAATTCAGTCTCTCTTTCCAACTGTGTTGGAATGACTCCATTTCTACAAAATCTTCAGAAATTTGCAGTTGATGTAGATTTACATATCAATTCAGATAGATAATTTTTCCTTCCTACTTCAAAGCCTGTTCCTTTCCTCTGAGACCCCACGCTAAAGCCCCAAATTCCCTTTATAAAAATGGAAAGTTTTTTTTTTTTTTTAAAAAAGAGATAAACCCTAGGTCAACCCAAAAGTCAGGATCACACCATCAAGAGCAACAGTGGAACCAAACATTAACCGTCCTGGAAGTCAGAATCAAAGGCATGGGTTCTTAACGAGAGGTCCAGGGACTCCTCAGGGCTACAAGGTAATTTGATGAAGCCCCTCAAATCGCATGCAAAGTATGTTTACATGCCTTTTTCTGGGGAAAGGGTCCATATCTTTCATCAGAGTTTCAAAGATATCTGTGACCTCCAAAAGGTTAAGAAGTGCTCTACAGAAAAAGCAAAGACAAGCAAATATGATTAGAAGAATGAACCCTTTTTAGGCTGTCAGGACTGCCTCATGTTCTCTAAGACTACCTGAAATCAGGTCAGAGGACATTATCCAATCAAAATCAAATTTTTTTCTTTTTTTTTAAATATACCTTTTCTTTTCTTTTTTAAGATTAATTAATTAATTTTTGTTTTTGGCTGCGATGGGTCTTCATTGCTGCGTATGGGCTTTCACTGGTTGCAGCAGGCGGGGGCTACTCTTTATTGCGGTGACCAGGCTTCTCATTGTGGTGGCTCCTCTTGTTGCGGAGCACGGGCTCTAGGCACGCGGGCCTCAGCAGTTGTGGCACACAGGCTCAGTAGTTCTGGCTTGCGGGCTGTAGAGCACAGGCTCAGTAGTTGTGGCACATGGGCTTAGTGGCTCTGCAGCATGTGGGATCTTCCCAGACCAGGGATCGAACCCATGTCCCCTGCACTGGCAGGCAGATTTTTTTTTTTTAATACATTTTTATTTTATTTATTTTTATCTTTGGCTGCGTTGGGTCTTCGTTGCTGTGCGCGGGCTTTCTCTGGTTGCGGTGAGCAGGGGCTACTCTTCGCTGCGGTGTGCAGGCTTCTCATTGCAGTGGCTTCTCTTATTGTGGAGCATGGGCTCTAGGTGTGAGGGCTTCAGCAGTTGTGGCACGCAGGCTCTAGAGCGCAGGCTCAGTAGTTATGACAAACGGGCTTAGTTGCTCCGCAGCACGTGGGATCTTCCCAGGCCAGGGTTTGAACCCGTGTCCCCTGCATTGGCAGGCAGATTCTTAACCACTGCACCACCAGGGAAGCCCCAAAATCAAATTTAATATAGAACTGACAAATACAGATTTTTATGTAAGGTGGGACTCCATAAACCAACATAAAATCCATAAAGGCAACTCATAAGGCTGGTGACTTACTCTAGGGGTTTCAAAAATGGAACTAATAAGGGGACCTCCTTGGTGACACAGTGGTTGAGAGTCCGCCTGCCAGTGCAGGGGACACGGGTTTGATCCCTGGTCCGGGAAGATCCCACATGCCACACAGCAACTAAGCCTGTGCGCCACAACTACTGAGCCCACATGTGCCACAACTACTGAACCCACATGCTGCAACTACTGAAGCTTGCGTGCCTAGAGCCCATGCTCCGCAACAAGAAAAGCCATCGCAATGAGAAGCCCGCGCACTGCAACGAAGAGTAGCTCCCGCTCGCCACAACTAGAGAAAGCCCCCACGAAGCAACAAAGACCCAATGCAGCAAATAATAAATAAATAAAAATTTTGGAACTAACAGGAAGAAAGTATTAGATCTTCTATCTGTATTTCCTTTTTATCCCATTCATTCAAAAATTCCTTTTCTGTGTATATTTTATAACATACATAACACTATAGTAGTACATAATTTATACAAGTAAGCATACACATAATGGAGGTAGTTGCTCAAGTTTTTCTACCTGTCATTCTATTAGTAGACCACTGATACAATCTACACATTTCAGCACCACAAAGTTAACAGTAACTCCAGGATAACACAAAACCCCACTAGTACAGCTTAGAATCCAAGAGCAAGAAACCTAGCAACTTTCACAGAAAGTCTAATTCGTGTCAACTAATAAGTGATTACAAGTACCTCTCTCCGCCCTTACTCTCCTTATACTTTTTTTTTTTTTTTAAGCTCATCAAACTTTAAAGGATCAGTTTTCAGCCTGGTTTGTCAAAGGTTCCCGGGATGTGACCAAAACATGACCGAAACATGTGATGGGAAAACTACTTGTGAAACCACAAATGTACAACTAATCGAGATATCCTCTTAATTCATCCTAAAAGATAATAATAACCTAAACACGAAACATTTATTAAGATTCCCAAGACACAACTTAAACCGGCTTCTGTGACTGAGTGTCACCCAGTGGTGAGACCAAGAGATGCAGGGTCCGTCCGCGATACGAAATGGGACAGAGGTAACCCTAACCTTGGAAACGTTTTCCCAAAATATTACAGCCCTGAGTGACTTGTCTCTTGGGTGGTGGAGGGCAGGGTTGGGGGAAGGCTGGCGGGCGGAGAAGGCTGGCGGAGCGTTGAGAGAACTCGAAAAACTTTTCAATCTAGGGTATCTGTGCCTTCACTACCTCTTAACGTCTCCTAAACCTCAGCCCTCTAAGGGGAGGCTCATCTTCGGAGGGCTCTCCTCAGGTTTCCAAGTTTGTCCCGGGGGCGTCACCCCACCTAAAAAAAGGGAGGGGAAGCATTTTCTGGATCAAGTTTGAGACCTAGACAGACAGAAATACACGAAGCTGCCATCATCTGCTACCGTGAATCTCAGCTTTGGACAGGAGACTGGAAAGCATTAACCCAGGGAAGAAAAAGGGGTCCCGGGCCCGGCACGGGTCCAAGAGGAGGGGACCACTGACGTAATGCTGCCTGACGAGAAAGGAAAAGAGAGCAGAACAGGTTGAAGGCACTTACACAACCCGATGGGGAAGTGGCGGACGACACCACAGTGGAGGAAGGAGCCGAATAACAAGTAAAGATACAGTAAAACCGTGAGGAGAAATGGGAAATTAGGGAAGGCGTAGTGGGGAAGAAGGGAGGCACAAAAGAACAGAACTACGGCGGGAGCCGGAAAACGAAGTGGAAGAGCCTGCAAGGAAAAGGCGCAACCCAGCCGGCAGAATTCAGTCTCCGTAAAAGTCCGACCCGGCCCTCCCCCACTTCACGGTACCTTCAGCTTATGGAGCTCCACCATTTCAGCCGCCATCTTGTTACCCCTTCACTCCGCCAGGCCCCCACCCGCTGCCTCCGCCTCCGCCTCCGCCTCCGGGAGCTCCCGCCTCGGCGCCGACAGCCACGGCCGGCCAATCGCTGTGGCTTTTACTGCCGCCTCCTACCATCAACTCTTTCTATTAGTCAATAGCTGGAGTCGCCCTCACTCCTCCAGGCGGCTTTCCCCACCTCTCTCAAAAGCTGGGACCTGGAGAAGGGCGGGTTCGGCACCTTCCGAAGGACGCAAATGGTGACCAATTGTGTGTCCCGGTGGCAGACCGCCAGCCAATGGGTGGTGGCGACGCTGACTCCGCTTCACCAATAGGGAGAGCGCAGATGGGCCGGGGCTGCTGCTTCCTGGAGACCGCAGGTGTAGAAGCAAATGCCGCGCCCCAAGCTGGACGGGCTTCCGAAGCTGGCAGGTAGGGTTACGGGAGACTGGGAAGCGGTACTAAGGAAAAATGGTGGGAAGTGAAAGGGGGGTGGGGGGTGGAGCGGCGGCGAACGACAGACCGAGAGAGGGGGCGAAGACGACAGCCCTGAAGGGAGCCGACGAAGGAGAGAGGGAACCTGGGGGGAGCAAGGGGCGCATTCAGCACTAGGGTTTAGGGAATTTTAGGTAGAGGGCGGGCCAGAGCTGCTTCCTAACCAGGCGTCATCAACCTTAGGGCGAGCACGATTTTAAAATGGCCAAGTTCCGACGATCAGAGCCGCCCTGGAGTCGGGACTAAGGCTCCATCTCTCGAGACTCTCAGCTCACGTCCCTTCCTAGTTCACATTCTTGCAGCACCCCACGCTTGAGAGGAAGAATTAGGATGCTGCCTGCTTACATGCCAAGGAGATGACACAGGAGGGGCAAGCCCCAGAGGAAAAGGTGGGGTTAGATTAGAAAAGGTAGCTTTACCCCCTCAACCTTCCTTAGTGGTTCCTTGATTGTTTCCCATGACCCTCTTCTGGAATTTTGGGTGTACCTAATGTCTTCATGGTTCCTTATTAACTTCTTCAGGAAGGTAAAGTGACATACTTCTGTTTCCCTTGCTCCTTGAAGCGCGCCAAGCGTATGCTTACTCCTTCAAGTTACAGTTGAAGTGTAAGGATCAGAAGAAAGATTACCATAATATGCCTCTAAGATGTAGAGAGGACTCTTCTTGACTTCTACGTTTTTTTCCCCAAGGCTTCAGTTTTTCCTTTGTGCATGATGGGGAAGTTCTCTCATTCCCAATAGAGTCCGGGGGATTTGGGCTATTCAGGGGACAACTTCGAAGAACAAACTCAAAGAGGGGTTGAGAAGAAATTAAGCTGGACTCCTGCCTGATCCCCCGCTGTGGTAGGATGAATGTGGGGGTGGCACACAGCGAAGTGAACCCCAACACTCGAGTGATGAATAGCCGGGGCATCTGGCTGGCCTACATCATCTTGGTAGGACTGCTGCATGTGGTCCTACTCAGCATCCCCTTCTTCAGCATTCCTGTTGTCTGGACCCTGACCAACGTCATCCATAACTTGGTGAGCACTAAACCATGACCTTTTACCCACCCCAGGCTTTTCCCAACCAAAAACAAAATAAAATCACCAATTATTTGGGGATTTGTCTTCCTTTTGGGATCTTAGCATGCTTCTTGGGCTGAAGGACTGCTTTCTGCCCCCCTCACACTACCCCCTTCCCTCCTCCCAGGCTATGTATGTCTTCCTACATACAGTAAAAGGGACACCCTTTGAGACCCCTGACCAAGGAAAGGCTCGGCTACTGACACACTGGGAACAGATGGACTATGGGCTCCAATTTACCTCTTCCCGAAAATTCCTCAGCATCTCTCCCATTGTACTGTGAGTCCAGGGGGAGATACGGGAGATCCTTCAAAAGCCAGGTACAAAGGTCCACAGGGAATCTTTAAAAAAGCAGACTTCGGGGCTTCCCTGGTGGCGCAGTGGTTGGGAGTCCGCCTGCCGATGCAGGGGACACAGGTTCGTGCCCCGGTCCCGGAAGATTCCACATGCCACAGAGCGGCTGGGCCCTTGAACCATGTCCGCTGAGCCTGCGTGTCCAGAGCCTGTGCTCCGCAACGGAAGAGGCCACAACAGTGAGAGGCCCGCGTACCGCAAAGGCCCGTGAGCCATGGCCGCTGAGCCTGCACGTCCGGAGCCTGTGCTCCGCAAATGGGAGAGGCCACAACAGTGAGAGGGCCCCCTACCAAAAAAAAAAAAAAAAAAAAAAAAAGCAGACTTCTACTCACTTAGACCCTGTGAAGGTATGATATACTAGATCTAAATCTAGAGAGAACAGTAAAAAGTAGAAGATAGTAATCAAGCATTACTTGCTGCCTCCTTGGTGGTAGGGGAATGGAGATGGGACTGAGAAAAGATAAAACACCAAGTAAAAGAAATTATTTTACACTTCCAAAAGAAGTGAATAAATAAAGGCAGAACTGATGTGAATCTGTAAGAACTAACTGAGAAGTGGAAGCAGAAAGGATTCTAACAGTCATGCAGGCTGAAACTGCTTCAGCTGTCATTTGCCACCTGTCATTAACAATAAAATAAAAAAAAACTAATTTGTAAATCTCCAGTTAAAGGTGCTATCCGATTATCTCCCCAACCCCAAAGTAAATGCTGTTAATATAGCTGGAATATTTTCAGATATCCTAGGACTGCATGCAGTAAAACTGGTCATTTAAAATAGAAGAGAAAGTTGCTAGAAAGGCCTGAATATGGATAGGGAAGGCCAACTTCACTCAACCTATTTCTTCTCTCCCCAGCTACCTGCTAGCCAGCTTCTACACCAAGTATGATGCTGCTCATTTCCTCATCAACACAGCCTCACTGCTGAGTGTACTGCTGCCCAAGCTGCCCCAATTCCATGGGGTCCGTCTCTTTGGCATCAATAAATACTGAGGGATGGGGCTGGGGACGTTGGAACAAAGGGCTGTAACATCCCTCCTTTTTCTATACTGTCTTCTATATGTTGAAAGCCTGAGAACTGTTTCCCAAACTCCCAGTGGAACTTTCCCAAATTTTCATTGGAAAATGGGGTTCCCTGGGCCCAGCCCTGCTAGGAGCAGGTTTCTTTGACTGAGGAAAGACAGGTGAGGTAAGGGGCAAATCACTCTCCACAGCAGGAAGCCATGTTGGGGCAGCTTTTTGGTTGATTAAGTTTTTCCATATCATCCACTCCCACCACCTTCCATCCAGCTCTGTTTTACTGTGTATTTTCCTTAAATAAAGATAAAGTATTTTCAGATATGGCTAAAGATTCGTCAGCAGGGAAGGGGGGGGGACAAC